TGATCAAATTGATCGATTTTAATTTTGCATGGTAAAAAGTTGAAAGGAAAACACCTTTAAATTGATTTCAATTGATCAGGAATCGGTGATCGACCTCTGATTTGGCTGTATTGTGTACGTGTCTTCAGCCCCGGGGTAGAACGGGGTACAACTTGTATATTCCATGCAAATTGTAGTGGTCAGCGTAACAATGGGCACTAATTACCTATTGTTCTTCGTCTGCGGCTACCGGTGTTTTCAATAAACAAACTACCTACACTGTACATGTACTCGCTACTTTGGAACAATCTTCAAGTTTATGGTCGCACGAAAAAAAAATTCCATAATATTGAATTTGATGAAGAATAAAATTGATAGAAAAAATATTTAGAATAGAACACCTTGGTACTATAATGAAAAAAAAAAGATACATATATGTACATCATGTACGTTGTGCAAACTTACTTTCATTTTTATTTCAATTCTCAAAGATCTATCTTCTTCAGTATTTAATTTCATTTTTTAGTTTTACGCATATTTCTTCAATCAATCAATCATTTCTTTGAATTTTTTACCATTTTACTTTAGTATACATAGACCACAAAAACATAAAAAATGTAGGTGGTTTTATACATAACAGTAGGTCTAAAAGGCATGCGTGAATAAGAAACTAAACAAAAGAAAATTTGTAGGTTGCTATAAATGCGAAGTAAGGGAATTTAGGCCGGGGATCATATTTTGTTTATCAGTTAAAAGAATATCCCGGGGGAGGTGGTCACATGTATTTTCAATTCTGAATCTCTGCTAACGATTGTTTGGGACCGGTAAATACGTAGACGAGAAATTGACTTCACTTTTTAATAAAAAAAAAAATGTGCAAAATATACAATCATATAGATATAAAGAGAAAGATTCTTTAGTGAAGCACTTTTTTGAAATAATATTAGCATGAATTGTTCCCAATTCAGATGCAGGGAAACTCCACTTCGCTTAATCCGAGAAAAAAAACCTTAAATGTATGGATTTTGAATGTCAGAAACATGACGTTGTGTATCGATCGCACTCATGAATAAATGTTATAATTACTTCAGTTCTGAAATTTGTATTGTTCATTGCAATTGATTCTCTAAAATAATTTTATTCATGCATATAAAAAATTCGATAAGTATAATATCATAACTTGCATGACTTTTAAAACACACAACTAAAGAACAGACCTTGCCCTATCGGCTATCACTTAATTGTAAACAGTATTTCACCCCCTCCTTTTTGTGCTACCATCAAGTAAAATCATATAAATAAGCACCAAGTCTGTACTGTTCGTTTACACAAAGGTCTCGGACAAAAATGGAATTAAAAAAAATTATAATCACTGCACAAAATTCTAATTTTACAAAAACGCAAGCCGTAACGATATCCCTGTGGCACAATGTACTAATAATTGACCCGATTCTAAAACGAAAGTAGAACTTTTACACGTGGTTCAATAACAACAAGCACAAAGTTTGCATTAATGGAAAAAGTTAATTCAAGTTATGATTTATTTTATTTAGTTTTTTAACTGACTGACCGCATATAACATGTTTAAGGAGTGGCGCATAATATTAGAAGCCATATGCCCATAGACTTAAAACTGTATACAATGAAAAAATAATTAGCCTAAAGAAAGACGTATATTTCATTGACTGAAAATCACACTGCATAAGATTTATGTCATGTAGTGTACAATACTTAAGCCTTAACAAATAATTTAAAAGAGAGTGTGAGAGAGAGAGAGAGAGAGAGAGAGAGAGAGAGAGAGAGAGAGAGAGAGAGAAAGCGACACGATATAAAATTCGCAGATATAAAATGCGCCAAACTACAAAGCCACACCATGCCAAGGTTTTTAATAAATATTTACATTTATCATTATGCGAAAATTAATCCTTAGGGAGGACATCGGAGAACTAGAGCGCGCTGTCTACATAATATATATATATATATAAATAATTAGATACTTCAATTTAATTATTTAACCCTGTCACATTCTTCTATAAATTAAAAAGTGTACGCTTCAAGACTAGATTTCATGAAAAATATTTAATACTGTCTTGTTAAATGAGAGCTTAATTTAAAAGTAATTGGAAAATGGGGGGGGGGGGGTTTCAACTTAATGTGCTCATGCATTTTCAGTTCTCCACACGGTAAAATAAATTGATATTTACAACCATTGACTGTATTGAAGTATTAAAGATACCCACAAAAAGCTTTTGATGACAGTACACATACATGTGAGAAAAAATATGAGATGAGATTTTTTAAACCTTTATGAACAAAAATTATTTTTTTTAAAAAAGTACTTGGGAAGAAAAACCACTGCAAATACAACAGAATAATTTTCCTCAGATAATGTCATCTACGTGTAAGGAGAAATTTAAAGAAAAAACATAAATATTTATGAAAGCTTATGTTAACATTATGGTCTAAAAATAATTATAATGAAATTAATAGATGAAAACTGAATACAAATTAATAAAATGTGACTTTTTTATTTTGAATAATTTATTTTGTAATTGACTGTAATGAATTTGTTAAAATACTTAAAAAAAACAAATAATCATTTCTCAGGCTATTTTAATCCATTCCCAGGTTAAAAACAATGACCACAGTAATTATCAGTAAATCTCAGCATCGACAGTACCTCAACAGTAATTATCAGCAATTCTCAGCAGCGACAGTACCTCAACAGTATTTATCAGTATTTATCAAACTCCACAGTAAAATACGACAGTAATTATCAGTATTTATCAGCAACAACTAAAATTATCAGCAACAACAGTAATAATAACAGTAAATATCAGTAATTATCAGCAAGAACAGCACCGTATCAGTAATTATCAAACATTATCAGTAAAATTTGGGATTCTCAGCACTTTTTTCGTCCAGTAGTGTAGGGAATCCAAATTTTACATTGAAATATATAGAACAAATCTTTGAAAATCTTCTTCTCAAGAACCACTTGGCCAGGAAAGCTGAAACTTATGTTGGAGCATCCTTGGGTAGTGTAGATATTGAATTGTTAAAATCATGACCCCCGAGGTAAGGACGGGGCCACAATAGGGAATCCAAATTTTACATTGAAATATATAGAACAAATCTTTGAAAATCTTCTTCTCAAGAACCACTTGGCCAGGAAAGCTGAAACTTAAGTTGAAGCATCCCTGGTTAGTGTAGATATTAAATTGTTAAAATCATGATTCCCGGAGGTAGGGCGGGGCCACGATATGGAATCCAAGTTTTACATAGAAATATATAGAACAAATCTTTAAAACTCTTCTTTTCAAAAAATACTAGGCCAGGAAAGCTGAAACTTATGTGGAAGCATCCTTGAGTAGTTTAGATTTTAAATTGTTAAAATCATAACCCTCGGGCGTAGGGTAGGTCCACAATGGGGAATCCAAGTTTTACATAGAAACATATATAGAACAATCTTTTAAAAAAATCTGCATCACCCAAGTTACTCAGGTGAGCGATGTGGCCCATGGGCCTCTTGTTTCTATTCTCAAGAGTTGACTGATATATCCATGTTTTGCTATAGCCGGGAAAAACAAAATATAAGTTGGATTAAAAAGCGAAATAGGAGGTGCACAATGGCAATTAGATAGAATGTTCTATCGTTAAAATGATATTGTACTACGGACCCGGTTTAAGGATAGAATTCGTTCCGTGTATTCGTAATGTAGCAGAAAGAAACACAGGCGATAGTGCATTTACTAGGAACAATCTAAAGAGTTCTGAATGTAAACATTTGAATGGAGAGAAAAACTTTGAGAAAATTAATTGGATTTACGTATATATATGGATTATTTTTGGGGATAAAAGGCATAAGCAATCTCAAAAAGGTTTGTTTTGATTATTTTGGTAGTTATTCCCAGTTCAATCATTTTATATTCTTCAAAATCGTTTCGGAGCAGATCCGCTGCGATTTGCTACGTTGCAAGTATATGGGACGTATTCTTACTGTGGTGAGGACCTGTACAGAGACACAGTTAGATTATTCTAACTAAATGGCAATATGTTATAAAGATTCTGTGAAAGTTGGAAGTGGGAAAGTTAAAATACTTTTATTTTCTATCTTTGTTTAAAATATGAGCATGTGTGTCCAATGAACAAGAAATGTTGGTGTGGCTCTTATGAGCACTTTATACATGTAGCATGTTTTAACTACCGTATAACAGAGAGATTTGACTACGTGTATTTTGAGTCATCGGGCCAGTTTCATTTGTCAAAGATCGGCGTACGCCGAATTGCGCCGGTCATATGACCGGCGTAAAACGGCTAAGAGGCAAATGAATCAAACCGGCGAAAACATTTTTAAAAAATGAATAAATACGCTAAATGACAATCAATTAATTAAGTTTTATTACTTTTTTCATTATGCCTTAGTAGAATAATTCGAAATTCAATTAAAAAAAAACATAGACGTCATGAAAAATTTTATTTTTCAGAAAATAAAAACATATTTTAAACGTACGAATAGAGATTTGCTCAAAATATGCAAACAAATAAAGAACATGTCGATTTGGTAAAAAGTAATTTAATTTCACAGTTGTTTTCTCTTCCCGCCATATTTCTAAGACCGGCGATCTCCTCGCCGGTCATTTCAGACCGGCGCATTCGGCGTACGCCAGCGAACCTTCCCCGGTCAAATGAAGTAACAAGCCGGGTTACGAAAGGTCAAGCAGCGCATTCGGCGTACGCCGGTATGACAAATGAAATCCTACCATCAAAATATTTGTTTTAAGACAAAAATATCACCCAATTCCAAATATAGAAATGAATGATTTAAAGCGGTTATTGTCTTGCGTATAGTGCTTAATGTCTATTGTGACTCTATATATGGTATATGATGCAAAGTTTGACGACTGTAATTTTGACGAGAAACAAAAAATTGTCAATATACAAAAATTATACATGATATAGTCAAAATTAGCACACAGTCAAAATTTACACTTTTACCATAACTGAACAGATCTTGTGGTTCGGCTTTTTAACATTTCTATTTTTTCTGTAGGTTAAAACTTTTCACTACAAAGTGAATTCAGAGTTAAAGAAATGGCATCAGCTCTGGTGTTGTTTGACGTTGATGGCTGCACGGCCATTGTTGATTCAAAGAAACTGGTGCTAAATGGAAAGGACCTTGTGACTGGGCAGAAGGGTCATATGAAGCTTGGCCGGGAGGAACTACATGTAGAAATACTTAAAGTGTCAGGTACACATTGATTGCTATAAACTTGTATTGTTGAAAATAAATCCAGATAATTATACTTGAATTATTAAATGTAAATATTATAAATGGATTAAAAAGACAGTCTAACTGTAGAAAATACTTTAATTGTTACATGTAAATATATTAATGTATTTATAAAAAGTAAAAATGAATTTTTTATATGGCTGACACTTTTTTTTTTCTCCATGTAATTTTTTTCAATACACATACAATGTCTTTTCAGAATTAAAATGAAAAAGAATTAAAATCCTTTTCTTGTGGAAGGCTTGCTATAATACAGATAAATTAAAGAGAGGCTAAACAATAAAACCTTTTAAATTCTTATCCTCTGTTGATTATTATTGATAAATAAACATGATGAAAACATTCAATGGAATTTTAACACTTCACAAGTTGCATCACCACATTGAAACAAATACAGAAATCTTGTTAATGTAAATATCTTTTTAAAAACTTTCATTTGATAATTTGACTTGTAATTGAATTCATTTTTTTTTAAGATTCAAAGAGATTCTTGAATGAATTTGAGGATGAATGGAGCACAACACATCGGTCCATTGCCTTAGATAAGGAGAAGAAGAAGAGAAAGAACCGACCTGGCGGATACCTTTCTGTTTGGCCCCAGGACATGGTATGAAAAAGAAATGAACGTAAATAGATAAAATTTCAGCAAAAAACTCAACTTTTTATGTATTAAAGCCAAAGTAAAGTGAAAGAAAATGGGAAGGTTTAATATTCATCTGATTTGCATTTCGTTTCTTTGTAATTCTCAATCATTTATACTATTCAAGAAGTTATAAATTTAAATAATTATGAATATCGGAGAAACACCATCTATATCAATGCCTTTTCCATTTAAGGACGATGTTGTAACCCCAGTTGAGGAACTACCAGATCCAGCAGAAGAGCAGCCTAAGGAGGTAAGTGTTTCTATTTCTCAAAAAATATGTCAACCAATTAAAACAAAGTTTGCATCAAAAAGTGAAGTAATGAAATAGGAAATAAAAATGAATTCAGAAAGACTACAGTTTACATTTTCAAAGTAACCATGATGGTAACTGTTATCATTTTCTGATTGGTTGTTTCTGATTAACACATGTACACAACTGGAGTAAAAGTCATATTTTTCTCTGAATAATTCAAATATTCATGTCAGAATTAGTAAATTTATAACAGTTGTATAATGTAAATGTAGGTGTATGTAGTTTTAGAAAATTGTGTAATCCTGAACATTATTTATTACATTTAGAATGAAGATGTTGAAGTAACAGGGGCACGCAAGAAGACTGCTGCCAGGAAAACAAAGGAAAAAGCAAAGGAAAAATCTGTAAGTTGAAATTTTTTAATCATTTGGCCAATATTTTTAGCATTATCTGTTAGAGACCAGGCCCCAAGACCATAAACTGAGAATAGACTTAAGTCAAAAATTTTATTTTCAATATCTTGAGCTTTTTTTTAATGTATTTGCTTCAAATTTTGCAATTTTATTTAACATTTAAATTTAAAATTATGTTGAAAATCTTGTTTTATTATCAAAATTATTTCAAAAGTTATATTGGTTTGAAATTTTGACTTAAGGTATTCAATGTATAACGACCATATTTTGTACCTAATAAATGAAAGGTCCAAAATTTTTAATCATGATAGCAATTTGAAGATATTATCAAATGAAAATGCTCCACCAAAGGAATTTACAAAATTTTGATTATTGTCCAATTAATATCACTTTGAATTTTACATTGAAGTCTAAGGGCAGTGCATGTTTTTATAAGATATTGTAAAAAATAATTTGAATTTCAAAGAAATCTCTTGGTGAAAATATGCATAAACTCCCTCTTTATTAAAATATAAAATAAAATAAATTATTTACCGCAGAAATTTTGTGAAATCAAAATTTTTCTTCTTTTCATCAAGGGCAGATAACTCTTCAAAAACTGTAAATGTGCAAAATGACCGTCTCCTTACATCTTATAAGTCATGTAAAATTATTTAAAATCAGTCAAAATCCCTTTGTTATACATTGAATACCTTAAGTCTGTTCTCAGTTTATGATCTTCGGGCCAGGTCCCAGGATCATGACACTGAGTTAGACTTCAGTCAAATTTATAAGTTCCTATGAAATGTTTATCAATTATTTGGAGATTCTCTATTTTGCAGATATTAACAAAACTATTGTAAGGCAACTTTAGAAAAAATATTTTAATTTTTGTCTACTTGACTTAATTAAATTTCTAGTACAACAAGGGTATTTTGACTTAAGGTTAGGATATTTCAATAATTTCATCATCCTGGAGCCATGAGAATGTATGCAATTAGTAGGGTGTTTGTTTACTGTCTGTCTATCTGTGTAGCCGTTCGTTGTTTGGTTTTGTTTCTTGCCTTTAAATTAAGCAAGGGAACATTAAAATATCATTTGTCTGTCTGTCCGCCTCAAAAACTTTAATCTTGCCCATAACTTTTGATTTAGTGGAGGTATGACTTTCATATTTCACATGTTTATTCCTTTTAATAAGATTTTTCTTTAGGTACATCTGTACCACAAAATTTGACTTTTGACCTTGGACTTTGACCCACTTTAACACAAAAAATAGAAACTTTTACTTTGGCCATAACTTTTGAAAAGTAGATACAAGGAATTTGTATTTACATGCGGCCTCGGTCAGGTCACCTTGTGGGCTAGGTCTCGGGTCCTTATTTCACCATGTTGACCTCACAAGAGGTAATTTATTGTATAATGTATTCTCTTTGGCAAGACCTTTCATTGGATATGAACAATTTTGACCTCTTGACCTTGGAGATTTCTGTACTTAAGGAAAAAACTTTGCCCTTGTCCATATTTTTTGAATGGTAATGGCTAGGGATTTCATACTTCACATATGTAATCCTTTTGAGAGACTTTGCATTAATAGATACCAAGATTTTTTACCCTTTGAGCTTGATGTTGGAGTTTGATCTACCTTTCAAAATTTTATCCTTGGTCATTACAATTGAAAAGGTGGTGCTAGGGATTTCATTTTTCACAATAGTTCTTCTTATGAGAAGACCCTGCTTCGAGTAATAAAATATTTCATTTTCATTCAAGAAAAGTTTAATCTTCACTATGTAGCCATAACAGGTCATCAGTGTTTCACAAACACATATTGTCCCTTATATTGAGAAAAGAGAGGGCTTTAATATTTAACCTGTGCATCTATACCTGTGACAAGATTTTTCCAAGCATGCTGTTATTTGAGTCGTTGACCTTCACGATTTACCTTATTTTTTTTTTATAAAAATCAACTTCAGTAATAATTTCTAAATGACATAAAATTATGATAAGGTGTTGATATATGAAACAATAATTTATGTCATAAAAATTACATTTCATCCACCAAGACATGGAAAGTGGGGGATCACAATTCTTTGAATTTGCTTGTTCAATATAACTTGACACACAAGAGAAAGATACATATTTCTATATGACTGTTTCTGATTTTGATTAAAGGTGTTGTCATGCTTACTGAAAATGAAATTGTAAACACTTATAAAGAAAAATCTCTTTATTGCTGTCGCAAATTTTCAAGTCCATGTGCTATTTTTATACCCCCTTTCTGAAGGAGAGGGGGTATACTGTTTTACCCTTGTGTGTCTGTCTAGCTGTGTCTGTATGTCCGTCTGAAACAAATTTTCGTCGCAACTACTCATGGTAGATGCTTGAAATTTTTAATATAATCTTCTCCGAGCATTGGCGTCGGAAGCAATTTAAAGTGGGGGGGGCCAAGTGTAAGAAAATTTTTTTTGTACCTCCAAAAAAACCTGACAAGCAAAAAAAAAAGGAAATGTCTATTTCCCAAACACGAAAATCCTATTTCGTGGAGGGGGGGGGGGGGGGCAAGGGGTTCCAAGTCTAGTACCAACAAATTTTCTGAGGCATGCCATATGGTGGGATACATTTTTGCTCACATCCAATGTCAACTTCCTGTTTGTCTGTGTGTCTTTCCGTTTCATACATAACAAATCTTTGTCACTGTTTCTCATTAGATATCCATAGCAGATGTTTGAAAATTTATTACAATCTTTGTTGAGGCATGTCATATGGTGGGATTAATTTTGAAATGAATTTGATGTCAGTTTCATATTTTTCTGTGCATCTGCATGTATTGACATGATAGTGCTTATTAACATCAGAGTGGGGGTATTTCTAGTGAGCACTGGCTCACAGATTTCTTGTTATCTCTCTGTTCTAAGTAAAAACCAGAAGAGCTCCAGTTTCATAAAAAAACTTCTTGATCT